GTAGCAGAAAGGATAAACAGGACACTGGTTGAAAGAATGAGATGTTTGCTTTCACAAGCCCAATTGCCAAAAAAAATTTGGGGGGAGGCATTGAGCACAGTTGTTCATGTGTTGAATCTTACACCCCGTGTTCCTCTACAGTTTGCTGTGCCAGACCGAGTTTAGACAGGTAAGGATGTATCCTATAATCGTTTACGAGTTTTTGGGTGTAAAGCATTTGTGCATATTCCAAAAGATGAAAGGTCCAAACTTGATTTGAAAACGCGACAGTGTCTATTCCTTGGCTATGGCCAAGATGAGTTTGGGAACAAGCTTTATGATCCAGTTGAGAAAAAAATTGTGAGAAGCAGAGATGTCGTGTTTGTAGAAGATCAGACGATTCAGGATATTGAGAAAGCAGGGAAATTTATGTCTCAACAAGGTGATATCTTGACTGATATGGATCCAGCTCCTCTGAAGAATCTGCCATCTCAGGTTGAGAATGATGGTCAGGATGACCACCAGTGTACATGTGATGTGGATGTTCCCTTACAGGTTCAGGGAGATATTGAGACTGATGAGCAGTTGACAGCGCCAGAGATTCCACCAGTGATTCCATCCAGGAAGTCTGCCAGAGATCGACGTTCTTCCACTCGGTATTCAGCAGAGCAGTATGTGTTATTGACTGACGGGGGAGAGCCCCAGTGTTTTGCAGAAGCCATAGAAGATGAACAAAAGACAGAATGGGTTGAGGCCATGCAAGATGAGATGCAGTCATTGCATGATAACCACACCTTTGAGTTAGTGAAGCTACCTAAAGGAAAAAGAGCTTTGGAAAACAAGTGGATTTACAGGAAGAAGCAAAATGAGTTATCTTCACGGCCACGGTACAAAGCTAGATTGGCTGTCAAAGGGTTCGGTCAGAGAAAAGGTATTAACTCTGATGAGATCTTCTCTCCAGTCGTAAAGATGTCATCGATCCGTATAGCACTCGGCCTAGCAACTAGTCTTGACTTGGAAGTTGAGCAGATGGATGTGAAAACTGCCTTCCTTCATGGTGATTTGGAAGAAGAGATTTATATGAAGCAGCCAGAGGGTTTCAAAGTGAAAGGGAAAGAGGATTATGTGTGCAAGCTGAAGAAAAGCCTATATGGTTTGAAACAAGCACCGAGACAGTGGTATAAGAAGTTTGAATCTGTTATGGGGGAGCAAGGCTACAAGAAGACAACTTCTGATCACTGTGTATTTGTTCAAAAATTCTCTGATGATGATTTTATTATTCTACTGCATTATATGGATGACATGTTGATTGTTGGCAGGAATGCTTCAAGGATTGAACAGTTGAAGAAGCAATTGAGTAAGTCATTTGCTATGAAGGATTTGGGGCCAGCAAAGAAAATTCTTGGCATAAGAATCAGTCGTGACAAGAGTGCCAAGAAGTTATATTTGTCACAAGAGGAGTACATTGAAAAAGTGCTTTAGAGGTTCAATATGGACAACACTAAAGTGGTTAGCTTTCCTCTTGCTACCCACTTCAGATTGAGTACAAAGCAATGTCCTTCTACAGATAAGGAAAAGAAAGACATGGAAAGAGTTCCTTACGCCTCAGCAGTAGGAAGTTTGATATATGCAATGATTTGCACAAGACCAGATATAGCCCATGCAGTTGGTGTAGTTAGCCGATTCTTGTCAAATCCGGGAAGAGAGCATTGGAATGCAGTGAAGGGGATCATGAGATATCTTCGAGGCACTTCCAGTTTAAGACTTGGTTTAGGAAACGGACAACCATTGTTAGTTGGCTACACAGATGCAGATATGGCAGGGGATGTAGATACTCGTAGGTCTACTTCAGGTTATTTAATCACTTTTGCAGGTGGGGCTGTAGGTTGGCAATCGAGACTTCAGAAGTGTATTGCTCTTTCTACGACTGAGGCAGAGTTTATTGCAGCAACGAAAGCGACTAAAGAGTTCCTATAAGCAAAGAAGTTCTTGAGAGAACTTGGTTTCAAGCAGCAGAGGTATGTGTTGTTTTGTGATAGCCAGAGTGCTATTCATCTTGCTAAGAATTCCAGTTTCTATGCAAGATCTAAGCACATTGATGTACGATACCATTGGATCAGAGATGCATTGAACAATAAGTTACTTGAACTTGAGAAGGTTCACACTGATGATAATGGCTCTGATATGTTGACAAAGACATTACCAAGGGAGAAGTTTGAAGTTTGTTATTCGATCGTCGGGATGGCGATTCCCTTCACATAGTCGGAAAGGGGGAGATTTGTTGGGTTTATTTCCTTCTATATGGAGGAAAGCCCAAGTGGGTTTTATTAAAAGCTCAAAGCCCAGCCTTTAGGGAAAAGAAAACCCTAAGGAAGTTAGTATAAAAAGAGAGAGAGGTTAGCCGCAAGTGAAAAAAACAAAGAGAAGAAAAACACAGGTTTTTCCATTCTGCCCAGGTCTGATCAAATGTCCGATTCCACTTCGTCTGTGGTCAGATCAAGCTGAAAATTGGAGGAGAGGTTCACGACTCAGTGACGCACAATCTGAACGATGGAGATCAGATTTTGAGCTCAGGAACAGTGATTCGTACCCGTGAACAATAACCTGGTTTTGGTAGAAAAATGCAGGTTTTTCTATTCTGCCCAGATTTCATCAAATATTCGATCCCGCTTTGTCCGTGGTCCGATCGAGCTGAAATTTAGAGGAGAGGTTCACGACTCAATGAGTTAAACTATGAACGGTGAAGATTGGATTTTGCACTCGGGAACAGTGATTCGTGCCCGTAAACAGTAACCGGGTTTTGGTATTTTTCTCTCCAATTCTCTTTCTTTTTGCTAAGATTGTTGTTATCTTGATGAGACGTTTTGTAGCCTCTAATTGCGATTAGAGAAGACTTTGTGTACCCATTATTTGGTTGATAGTGGAGATTTTAACTCGACTAGGTCTCGTGGTTTTTCTTCCTCACACTGGGAAAGTTTTCCACGTAAAAAATTGCTTGTGTTCTTGTGGCTTGGTGTGATTGATTTGTTCTCTATTATTTTCAGCACATATAAAAGTAGAGATATATTATATTTGCTTGCATATAGGGAGAAAAATTATTCCGCTGCAGAAAACTACTGAAATAATTACATCAGAGGATTTGCGTTCGTAATTTCGGGCGTGAGGAAGTTGTTGTTTGGAGCACGAGTCCGAATCCAAATTGTTAGTTGGAATATATGATTCGGAATTGGAGTCGGAAGGAGCGAAGGTGACAAAATTGATAAAGCGGATATCTTCAAAACCAAATTTGACAAGACTTATATATGATTATTAACTGATGATGTTCTATTCAATGAATGCCTTGTACAAAAGCTAAAAATATATATTGAGAAAAAAAAAATTAAAAAAGAAAAAATCAACGAAACAAAACAAAACTAAAATTTGAAATCATACCTTCAATCCAAGAGGGTGCTCAATTTATATGCATTTTTCCATTACGAACCATGAGTAGTTTACCAAAAATGGGTGCTCAATTTATATGCATTTTTCCATTACGGACCACGAGTAGTTTACCAAAAATACATACATATATATATATATATATATATATATATATATATATATATATATATATATAGATAGAGAGAGAGAGAGAGAGAGGGGTTAAGTGTAAAAAATGACAAATCATAATTTTGGTGATAAAATTACTAAATTAACCTTACTTTAACATTAGTAAAAAAAAGGGGGCAAAATATCAAAATTACCTTTAAAGTCAAAACATAACATAACAGTATAAGGATTATAAATCAGTGTCCCAATATTTAAAACAAATTTGGAATGTGGGTGTCTAATTACCTTTTACCAAATTCAACCATTGTCCTTCCAATACATTCAAGAATATCTATATATAAATCTATAGTAGCTAAAAAAAAAATTTAGACATACGCCACTAACTATACGTCAATCTCACTTATCAATTATAATTTTTTTTTTTTTTTAACTGTATTTTATCCTACTTATTAATGATTTTTGAGAAATTGTGCTTGAAAAGTTAATGGTAAACGGACTTGGAAAAAAAAAGAGAAAAAAAAAGTTAATAGTAAACTCAAAAAGTTTGGCTTGCACATAATATGATAAAAATAGACATTAATAAAATAAAATAAAATAAACAATTTTTTTTAAAAAAAAATGTGTTGCTTGAGTATGTGTTCAGCCGAAGAGTAACTAGATCAAAATTTTAATTTTGATAGAAATCTGAAGTTCATCTGATAACAATTTGCATCAAAGCAAATCCATTTATTTAATAATAATAATATTATTATTATAGATATAGATAAATATATAATTAAGGGGGGCTCATTCATTTACAATAAAATATAGTGCATCTATCATTCGGAGAGGAGATAATATTGGCATAGAAAAAATTTTAGGAGAAAAAGAAAATAGAAATAGAGATAATATCGGCGGCCACAAAAAATATTTTAGAGAGAATATATTTTTAGAGAGACAGACTATGACAATACATAGAATTTTCCTTGGACAGGTCTTGAAACACATTCAAACAAAACCATTTAATATTCAAATATATACAAAATTAGTAGGGACAATCTTGTCAAACAAAAATAGCACTTTTAAATTTTTTTAAAAAAAGTAATATTACTAGCTGCTCTTTTTCAACGAATCCATTCAATGATGGACAAATTGCTCAAAAGATGAATAATACAATTAGTTGTATTCAATTTTTTTTTTTTTTTTTTTTCTTTTCTAATAGGGGGTTTCTTGCATATTTTTTATATAATAAGGGAATTTTCTGTACTTAACCCTATAGATATATAGCCATCATATCTAAGGAACCGTATAATGTGATTGAATTTCTTGCTCATTAGTAAACAAGAAATCATTTTCGATACATATAAGGTAATGATCGAGCAAGAATTTCATCGACAGAGTCCGTAGATGTATAAAGATAGACATTGGATTTAGTAACAAAGAAAAAAATAATAAATAAAGGGAAAAAAAAATTAAATTGTACAGGAAAAGAAAGACATCCAAACACATATAATCATTTCATTCGATGATGATAAGGTACAAACAAATAATTAGCCGATTATTCATGCTGGATGCACCTAATATGATAAATTTACATTGGTACGTTCCACATTTAAGTTTTATGGAACGAGAATTATTACTTTCAAAATGGATACAGAACTGATGCTAATTGCTAATAATGAAATAAAGACAACCTCGTTGTTTGTGGATACCAGTAATAAAAATTGGAGAAAACATTCCTAAAGTTTTGGAAACCCAACCGACTTTTCAAGAAACTTTGAGGAGACCACTTTTTGTCACTGCATTTTTAAAATATTACATACTTGAAAGTGATCATGATTGTCAGGATCCAACTCTTAAAAACGTTTGTACTATTGGCCCAATTCTTGCAATCCTCGTCATGGTCAAGAGCGTCACATTCCAGTTTTCCAAATAATTAAGAAGGCATTTTGTAGGGCTAAAATCTTTTTTGCAATATGATTTCCAGCACGATACATACCAGTCCACTGACAGCAAATACCATGGTGCCCCTAAAACCTGGAAGAACAAAATTGAATCATCAATTCCAACACAATTACGCAACTCTTGAGAGAGAGGGAAAAAAAAAATTTTGAGAAAAGGAATATTAAAGTGATAAAAATGAGCACAAATGGCATAACACTGGTAGAAGTTTTCAACTAAATTGGTTAAAAGCATAAAGTGACAAATAAATAACATAAATTGATTTAATTTAAAGTTACATAGTAAGCAAACATGTACAATATCAGATTATATGCATCCCTTGCTAAAAACTGGTTTTGTGACGACACCAGTTGCTTTAATAAGTAGTGAACTTAATAGGAAAATCAAATATAGTGCGGGCACAAACTGGAGTAGAACAATCAGTGAAAGGGCATTGTTATTGTGATCAGCTCATAAGCTACTCGCTGCTAGCATAATGAACCAGATAACAATCTGCAGAAAATATATTCAGCTAACAATTCTTTTCTCCTAGATAACTTTATACGGAGTAATTTACTAGAATAAAGGTAAAGAAAATAGTATTAGTAAAAATAGGCTTATAGGAGCAGAAATAAGTGTGATTGTCATGATGGAGTCTAGAATATATAGAAAACACAAACTTACAAGGATTACTTTAATACTGATGAAATAGAGAAATTTAAATTTCCCCTTATTATTTATTTTTGTTTCTAATGCCGGGTGAGCAACACAAGATCACAGTAATTACTTTCTCATTTCAGGAATTTAAAATACTATAAGAAAAGTAAAAGTACCAGACTTCAAATTCCTCATCAGACGATTCTTTCGGGATGATCTCATATCGCGGAATATTCAATCGATCATGCCTGACTTCTGTTTCAAAACCTCTATCGCCTATGGGAAAACTCTGTCCCACGGTCAGATGCGAAGCTATATACGCAACTCTATTAGCTACCGTGTTTCCTTGAAAATATTGAAACGATATTTCATATTTATCAAATTCTAACGAACCAAAAATTTTGCTGCATCACAATAGTTTTATATCAATATAATTGGAAACTTGAATATAAATTTTAAGAATAAACTCGAACTTTATACAAAAAACTTACTGATAAAGTCCAAGACATTCAATTGGTATATCGTTCTCACGATTTAGCACCTTGACAATTTTTTTATGGTTAATCTCCAATAATATATCCTTTGCTTCCAATCTCCTTTTAAGAATTTCATCTATCCCATGAAGCACTCCAAGTAACAATACTTCATCTCTAGATGTTGCATCAGGAAATGGCTTATAGAAAATTTCCAAAATCCTTCCCCTACAATCTCTTAATACTTCTCCACAACAAGCTTCCTTGGTCCCACCAAGATTTTTCTTAAAAAACACAGAAACATTTAACTTGTACTGTCCATCGAATGGTGCTCTCCAAGAACAGAGTACTGAGTATTTTAATAGTGTCATTGGAGAACTCTCCAAAACATAAATTTGCTGCTTAAACAGGTAATTATAAATCCTTTTTTTGTACTTTTTAGGAATCCAGAGTACCAACCACATGAAGTCATTTATCGAGATATATCTGGTCTTGGAAACCCCAGCCACATGCCAATCAGTGTTGCCCTTTTTGAACAACCCATAATTTTCTAATATAATGTTGTGCTTCTGTTCGAAAAAAAGTTGTTGGGGTCCACAAAAAAGCTGTTGTTTAAAGATCAAACAATATAATTGTTAAAAAAAATCTGAATTAGATAAAAAATAAAATAAAAAATTAAAAATTAAAGTTATGTATATATTGAACTTACGACTAAATTGGGGATGCAATTGTGGATGCTTTTAAAATTTCCTTCGTTGATAAAAGATACAGAACTTGCAATAAAATTGTCAATGTTTGGAAAATTTCCTTCCTTGATGTAAATGGCACGCACCATACGATGAAGGATTCCTAAGGAGGCAAAATATAAAAACAGCATTAAAGGCAAAAATATAGTAACAAATAACAACGAAAAGATAAACATTTTAATCACATGAAGCCAGAATCTTTCTTGATTGTTTTTAAGAATCAGGTACAAAAATAGAAATGACAATCCTGGAAGTAAATTCACGAATTAGACGTGTACGTACGATGCTTTGGGAAATGCTCCCGCTTGAAATTGAAGTTTGAAAGATACGGTTATCACTATTAACCCAAATGAAACGATTTTATATGTTTAGCCCTTTAATTCATTTATTTATTTATCTATTTTATGTTTCCTGATAACCCAATTATTTTTATTTACATTTCAATTTTAATTCTATATTTTTCTCAAGCACTATTTCTCAAACAGCTGCATTATTAGCAACCAGTGGTCTGAACAAAAAAAAAAAGTTAAGACTACATTACTTCAACTGATGTTGAACAATGTAGACTTGTTAAATTTCCCCCCTCATCTTCAAAGGGTTCACATCAAATACACCATGCCAGAAATAATTAAGAAAATAAATAGGAGTGAGGTAAATAAAAAAATTGCTAAGCATATTATTTCGAATGATATTCAATTCAATGTGGTTCAGACTCGATCTTTTATTGATTTCGTGAAGAGTGTATCTGTATTTGAGTCCTAAAATTTACGTTGTATGACTCAATCATACAAATTACCAACTTACTCAACTTTATGCACGAAGCTAACACCAGATTCTACGATGGAAGTTGAGGCATACGGTGTAAATTTGCATAAAATGGGATTTATTTTATTAATTGTAACATTTTCTTTTATTGTCTTTACAAGTATATGATATAGAAGAAAATATATAAGATGTGTATAGCTTAATTTTTTGTCCCGAATTTTCAGCTCATACGTGTTATACATGTATGTATCCGTATTCGTATTTTTCTTTTCCGTTTATTTGGCCGAATTTTGCAATGTATTAAAAATAAATAAATAAATAAAATCGAATTATACTCATACATTCCCAAATCCTTCTTCTTCTCTTTTTCCTTAGCGTAATTTACTAACTATGATAATAATAAAATTCCCTAGACGAGGGAAGTTATAGCTAAACACAATGCAAAAATTCAGATTGAACTAGATATTCGAAACATTTCATGCTGTGAACAACATTCTCTCATTACGGGCTTTTGTCTTCATTTTTTAAAACTAGCAATGACAAGCATGGAATTGATGTTCCGGAACGATAGAAATAAAAGACTGCAATTTGACCTTTGCAACTGGGCATTAGTACTCCAAGTCCAAGGCATGGATTAGAAGTAATGAAACAAAATTCCGTTGATAGATGATGTAATGTTACTTATAAAGACTGAGCATCAGCATTTCAAGATATCTTCAGCAATAGAGAGTTGCATTATATTCTTTGCGCAATAGAGAGGTCAAGGATAAGCGTCGACCTGTCTTTAGCGTGGTCTTATGTTTGTGACAAGTCTGTATGAAGAGGAGAAGGTTTTTGGAGGTAGTAAGACTACCGCGCATTCTCACTTTCGGGCTATTGTCGCCAAACGGAGGGCACATCAAAGTGGATGTGGGAGTGCCGAGAGAAGGAAAGAGACTTAATAACTGTGCCTTTTTGGTTTTTTCTACACAGAAGTCGCAAGCCTCGAGAAGACAGAAGATTGGGCTATGAAGTCTTGAATGGTGATGACTGGGGTGTGTGACTTCATTGCCGGGGACCCAATACTTCTATTCAAGCTACATTCTCGCAATGAGGCAAATAAGGTTTTAAAAAAGGGAAAACTATAGTGGGGAGATGCTTTTTTAAATACAGAGTGGGATTCTCTGGCATTATGAGGAAGAGCAAGGAATGGCGAATTCTATTGTATGGTGTGCAGCTCCATCTATGGTGCCATCCACAATTCGTTGCAATTGGGGATCAGTGTGGTGATTTTAAGGGCGTAAAAGCAAATGAAAAGGTAAACATGAAAAGAATAAAATTTTAGGCCTGGACAGAGAGGAGATACCCGCTTTTGTGATGGCGGGGGACAGGAAGGTGTTTTATCAGGTGGCTGTGTTGGAAGAACCATGTCAGAATTGACTCTGACAGTAGCATCGCTCAGAGATCAACATGAGAAGTTGTTAACTCAAGAGAAGGATTGGTGGTGAGAGAAGGACGAAGCCAAGTGTGCATCGGAAGTATGCTGGAAATTGAAATATGAGAAGTAGAGGTAAAAGGGACAAGAGAGGTTGGGGACAAGGGTCTTTGCAAGCGCCTGAAGCACGTAAAAAGAAGAGGCGAACAAAAGGAGAGGGTCTTCTTAACAACCAAAAAGGGGTGGGAGGCAGCTCGGTTGCAACATGGCATATAGGGGATGGCAATGGGAGAGATGTCACGCGACATGTGCCGCTATTAATGATCCAATCATAAATGCAAGCATTCAGTCTAGGTTTTAAAATTTTGAAAACATAGACCACCACCTCAAACAAGAATGAACCTGCTATTACTGATCCAACCCGAAATAAAAATACTAGGTAGGAGTGACAATAACTGATACGACATGAAATAAGTGTGTTTACGTTTGACTAATCGTGCTTGGATTGCAATAGTGTCATCCCATACCATAGTTGTTAAGGGCACACCTAGGCTCTAAAAAAGCCCCAGGCTTGTCGAGGCTCAGCTAGAGAGCCTTGACCTAGTAAAGGCCAAGCCCCTTCAGTCAGGCTCACTGGCATGCACTTTTTAGTATGTCCCAGGCCAAAAAAAAAAGTGTCTTTTAAGGTAAGTGAAATTTGTTCTCTATTTTTCAATAATTTATTCATATCATTTTTCTTTTATCAAATGACTACTAAATTAGAATGTCACTATGGGCGATTTCACCCCACTAGGGGCGATTTCAAGGCGATCGTGATTTTTTTTTCAGTTTCAGTTTGCGATGAAATCTTTTTTAGAAATTGCAAGGATTCCAAGAATATCACTGAGAAGGGATGTGAAGTCAGCAATTCCACATCGAGGGCCGTCTTTGTACATCGACGAGGAGCCCGTCGGAGGGAGGAAATCAGTTCTCTCACCTTGCTTGGTCGGTCGTTTTGACAAGGAAGTTGGGGGATGTGATCGGGTGGAGGAAGGGGCGGTGTGAGCATGGAATACGTCCTGTGGAGTGGGGGTTACTCCCTTATCCGATTCGTTGCTCCTATTCAGGTTTCCTTCTCAGGCAAAAGCTCAACGTGTGTTGAAGGAAGGCCGGCGTCAATGGGGATCTGCAACCTTGTGGATCGATGTGTGGTCTTTTAGGGTTGGTTGTTGCGGCATCCTTAGAAACAAAGGTCTCAAACAGATCCGGATGTTTGGACTGCCCCTTCACCTATGGTGTCATGCTTTATTTGTTGAAGTAGGGGAGTTGTGCGGCGGATTTATGGGAGTTGTTGCAGATGAAACAAGGGACGCCGAAAGCGTTCGGATTACAGTGAGAATAGGATCTACCTGTCCGCAATTCGTGTTTATTAATGATGACACCTTCTGTTACAAGGTGGCGATCTAGGAAGAAGTCGCGCCGGAGTTGGTTCCCTCGACAGAGAGTCTTGAATGCAGTGACGGGTCTCATCTTATGACTGAGGAAGGATGGAATTCGCTTCTTAACAAAGGGAAAGAAGGGGTGCAACAGGTCCAACAATGGCTGAAAGATAGAGAACTTCAAAGGGCGGTGAAATTTGTGCGAGGAATCAAGTAGCCGAGACGCACCGGTTACGCGCGTTGCAGCTGACAAGAATAAAATTACACGTGGTGCTCGTAGAGGCTCACTTCCAGATTCGTCCCTATCCTTATCTACAAGGGTTGGTGAAGAGGTTGGGTAGGGCCGCACAAATTGGCCTAAGATTGATTTAGGTTGGAGGGGTTCAGGGCAAGCTAAAGTGTTAAGTTTTGGGTCTGGGAGGAATGGGCTCAAGTTCAAGCCTGACTTTGGGCCTAAGACAGCCCACACTAAAAGACGGGTATTTAGAGGACCCAACTCACTTTCTGTTTCCTTTCTTAACGAACCAGATCCATCTAAAAGACAAGCCCTGGTTCAAGCTCAAATCCAAAACTAAACTCTCTCCTCTTCTTCATTTCAGCGTCGGACTGAGAAAGAAAAGTGGAGACTGCCGGTTGCTTCAGCTAGTCGCCAAGGCACTCGATGGACTCGTACTGAAAAACATAAATGGGTAGCATGCTCTCCTTCTCCTTCTCCTTCTCCAGGTTTGACCTCTGTTTCTCATTCTAAGAGCTCATTTTCTACCCCTACTTGTGAGGTGATGGGAAATGGTGGCGGTGGTGTGGAGGATCGTTTGGATCATAAGAGGGTTTTTCTGAGGCCATTGTTCCACGGGCTGAAGAGTCATTGTCTTCAATGATCACGTCCAGAAGTGTTAGTTGTTCCAACGGGGTCATAGTATGTGTAGGACGGGACCTTCATTTCAAGCTGACAGATGATATAGCCGTGACTTTACTTAACGAACTTAAGCTCTTTGCTGCTCTAAAAGGCTTAAATGGTTTACCCTCCGTGACTGGGACGAATTACACCCATGATTTGATGACAAATTTTACGGATGACCATGGAACAGAGCTGAATCTGCAATTAAACTTGTATCAGAACAGTGTTGAAAGCAAAGGGGAGGAGTTTGAAGATCAGTTTTCTTCTCAACAGATCTGTCCTCTTGCCTAGGATATTGATCAATCTAACGTGGACATTATGGAACCCTTAGCAACTGTGCACCCTGATTGCCTAGAGACGACAAACGATTTGGGTATGGACTAGGTGTTTGATAATATTGGCGAGGTCAGTGAAGCTTTGGGTGTCTCCTCGGAAGGTGATGATGACCGAACACAATCCATTCTTCATTCTATTGTGGCAAGAAATAACCATACAGAGACCTTTAAAAGCACAAAAGTTGATAAAAATAGGAAACATGCACATCGGAAAGGAGATCAGGAGGTTAAGAACCTTATTTCCAATGTCAATTACGAAGGGAAGGATGGAGT